AATTTATTGTCGCTATAAATTAGTATAATCAAATATGCCATGGTGTTACGGTGTGTTCAATTCCAATTTTCTATGCTATAACAGCATTAATTCAAAATTCTTAGTGTTTTTCAAGTTGGTGTAATCTAATGACTAATCACTAATCAGTATTAGTAATCTAAATCTGTGTGAGTACAGTAATATATCCGCTATGACTATATATTATGAGGTGAGACTATATACGTAACATATGAATAGCAGATAAAAGAATAGTGTAAGTAGCACGGTTTGACACTCCGATGTATCATGTCGTGTACGTTATCCTAGACGAAATGCACCTGTCTACACGCCTGTACTTTGCTTTGTTGTTGTTGTTATTCGTTTATCCTCCTACTTCACGAGGTCATGGTCACAATGTAAACCCTCTTTGTAACGTTAGCTACCAGTGTTTCCTCATAGTAATTGGTTGTTGTAGTTTTTATTTGGCTTGAAATGGACTCATTGCCGGGTGGGGCATACATCTTTGGCCCATATTTGCCATTAGGGAGATATAATCTAGCCGGCTAACATTCACTATGCGCTATAATATACTAACGTTAGGAGACAGTCGCCGTCTCCCTCATCATCGTCCTCTACATCTGCTTCGTTTCCCTCCTGATCATGATTTGCTTTGCTCTTCCTCGCGTTGTTTCACGCTAGTATCGTCGTCGGCCATTTTCTTGGCTGCTCTTGCATGCCCATCGCGCCGTAAAGATGCTCTGTTGTTACTGCTCGAAACATGTCTGCGATCGATGTTTGCTATGTTGTTAGTGATAGGTAAAAAGTACATAACCTAATGACCTTATAATAATTGGCCTTCAAATTCCACGAGACGGTATCGAAGATGGCAAGAGACAATGTTGATCAAAAGGTTTATTCCTATAATAATAATAGGGAAAAAATACGGCCACTACTAGTAGTACTAGTAGTACTATTAGTATTACTAGTAATAGTATTACTATTACTATTACTACATTATATTACTAGTAGTAGTATTAGTACTACTTAGTACTAGTAGTATACTAGTCTTAAAATTACTAGTCTAGTATAGGGCGCAAATCACTTTAGCACCTTAGGGCCTTAGGTATCACGAAGTGCATGCACAGATTTCTTCCGTGGGCATTACAGCTAGGTAATCATAAGGGGTAAGCTGTTTGCTGATTGGCTGAATCGGACATGGCGCGTCACTCGTTTCTTGCAGTGTTGGTAATAGACTGGTACTCGTTCGCCTCCTTCGCTGCACTGACGCGTTAGTGTAGCGGAACTGTCGACCGGGTACCAGTCTACGCTGGTAAACACTGGCATGAAAGCCGCATGATGCAGCCTAAGTCAATGTTAGACATGGTTAGCTGTCGCATATTTATTATTCTTTTAGGTGTTCCTCTGCAATTTTATCACACATTTACCCAAAGATAGAAGCCTTATATAGATATTAGTCTGGTAATGCAAGTGAGTTTGTTGAACGAAAACATGACTGATATTGAAGGTTCCAAAAGATGAGCGCTGTCGCTCCGCGGCACTTGTTGTGATTAGCCCTCGGTCTGTAATGTTTATGCAAAATAAATCGGCAGAAGCGCAACTTTGTCAGAGTAGCAACACAATCGCGTGGTGTCATGTCAGCGGTCAAACATAAAGATATCAAAACTCACTGTTGTTTTATGGCAAATATAAATGCGTCATTATAGAAATTTGTAGGTATATATACTATTAGTGCATGACGTGATAAATCGCTGCAATCTCATTGGATAACGCAGCAGGCACTATGAAGCGATAGTGCTTGCCTGAGCGGGCACTATCGCTTGCGCGACGCATTGTTATTATAACGCATTGTGTTTACGTCACGAATCTCCTGCGTCTGGGCGCCACGCAAGAGTAATTTCGAACGGCGGTTGTGTTTGTGTCGAACGTTTTGTTACATCGAATGCACCGGCAAATTAGGGAGTATAAAGAAGGTATATATACGCATGAAAAGTAGATTGCATAGTCACGTCATGCACTAAAAACATTAATGCCTGCTGTTGGGGGCACTATGCTCTCATAGTGTTGCTTTGGGAAGGAATAGTGCACTCGCTACCGCTCGGGCACTATTCCTTCCCTCACCAACACTATGAGAGCATAGTGCCCCCAACAGCAGGCATTAATATATAATTATTTATGCACTTACTATTATTATATACCCATTAATCACAAATCAATATCCCAATTTTATACAGTGTTAGTGTGGTTGAATGATTAAAGGATTGATCTCTTTTTAAAAATAAATGCACAATCTGATTAAATATAGCGAAATATCGTTTCACCTAATAGCAAAAATGTTACTTTGAACAGTATAATAATTACTATGAGTTTGTGTTGTTTTAATGTTACAGATCTATTATAGCAAATAATGCAGCCACATTCTTTTCTGTTGCAATAATTCCCTTGAAGTTAGGAACCACCAGACAAAAGAACATTTCATTGAGTGATGTAGTTGTTCTAGACTCGTACACTGTCTCTATTACCTAATTAATGTAAATTATCAATAACAAATTGTAGTGTTCCAAGACTTGTTAGCCTTACTTTAGACACTTGCAGTTATGGAAGCAATACCAGTAACTATTGTAATGGTCGGAAAAATACAAGAACGGCCAGGAAGACTGTTTAAAATCACTACTCTAGGGAAAATGTAATCCTGTATTTAAACTAGGGGTGCACCGGAACTTGGATCTGGCCGGAACTATCCGGCCAGATCCCCAATTTTTCAAAGTTCTGGTTCTGGCCGGAACCCTTCAGGAACAGTCGGCCGGAACCGGAACTTTTTCCTAATTTAATTTCTGCTACAAGCGTCATCAAGATCAAAAGGTCAGTCACTGAATGTAGTTGAGCGTCAATAGATTCAACTTGGTGACAATATAGTGTTAACAACTTCACACTATTCTGCCCAGAAAACGTTTGCCACTTGAACATCGGCTAACTAACTGAACTGAACCTAACTGAACCTAACTAACTAACTGAACTGAACCTAACTGATTCACGAGATTTTCTTTTAAAATAAAATACTCTTAGAGCCACAGGAATGGCATCTGTTTGTTAGTTGAAAATAATTGACTAAAACCAGGGATAATGCAACATGCAGGTTTTGCCACACAATTTGCTTGCGAATAAGATGCCAGAATTATGCACTGTATAAGCAGCTGATTCATACACTTAACAACCATCCTGTAATTAGAACTTTGTAGCATTGAGAACAATGTAGAATGTGAACATGTATATAATGAGAACATGAGACATGAGAACATGTAGTACAATGAGCATTGTCCTACTCGCCTGAGTGATGTGCCTGCTAATAATATTTCGTTCAGGCCGAGTGAGTTTGCGCAATACTGGGCCAATTAAAACGGTGAAGTTTATTCCCAGCTTAAGTTCCGGTTCCGTCCAGGTAGTTCCGGTCGGAACTTTTTTCAAGTTCCAGCTGGTTTTGGTTCCGGCCGGAACTTTAAAAGTTGGATCCGGTGTACCCCTAATTTAAACAGCTACAACACTACCGTTAAGACTAGGTAACTCCTATACCTTTTGACCCCTGCTGAATTTCGACACATTACTGATAACATAAAGGAACTCGCAGAAATGTATATATATCTTACATGTTAGCTCCACCATACATACCTAGGTTTGTAGCCCAAGGTACAGGGTTAACCACCGACCTATATACTTATCAACATTGTCTTAGCAAGTGCGTACACCCAATGATCATTTGGCACTAAGAGTAAGACCATACAGTGCACCCCTCAAATGTGAGTTGTCATATAAGTTGTTACACATGTCAGGTCGCATCAGCTATTTTTCACTGAACACAGATTGGAATACTGCACCCTGTAATGGCTCTGGTAGATGATGATACAGTCGACTGCTACCCATCTAAAGAATGTTAATATATAGCTAGACTGGGTGCCACCAGAGTTCTGCAAGATCTTAGCTATACTTTCGGCTACAAATTCACAGTACCTTGGAGAATCATTGACACTTCATGAAAGTCGCTGACTTTGTATTGCAAAATAGAAACATTAAAATTATATGGACATTTAATTTTAAAATGGTGTTAGATCGTTTTAAATTTAGCATTTTATGAAAGGCTATATACTCCTATTCTGAAGTCATAGTACGTAGATTGATGAAGTGTGACCCGTTTTTTTAAAATTATTTGTTATACACAGTTGGGTTTGATAAAGGCACCACAAAAATGTGCAATTGTGTAGGGCTTCGTGGCAGCAGATGTAGGGATGCAGGGCAGCTAATACATACATGTGAATTTATGAGTTTGTCTTTCATGGATGTTTTTGTTTTGGTATCACAATTAATGACATTGTTAAAAATAGACTTTACAACCAGCCACCATTCACCGAGTATCTACTAAATTTTCTGTTCTATACATAAGGTTGGATAACCCTTGTTACTCGATCCATTTGGGTATTATATTACAACATTACATGTTGCAATACCTCGGTCTAATCAAGGTACATTTCTAAATATAGAGCATTAATGGTGGTGGGTCTGATGTGAGTGTAAGTATGCCCTAGTTACTCAAGTGTATGAGACAGCTGTTTGGCATACCCTGAACATTCAGACTCGTGACTTTACCTTCTGTTAATTGATTTAATTTTTTTTTAATTAAAAAAAAACAACGGTTGTAGTGTTACAAGCTGGAAGAATGCTGTAACTAAATGACATTCTATGCGGTAGTGCTAATTGGGGTATGGCTGTATGCTGAGTACTACACTTCTAATCCATCACCAGTTGAGCCAAAACTGACACCACTTGCTCACACAATGGGCAACTGTAACAGTAGCTACTAGGACCCACGATTAGTTGAAAGTGTGGAATTGTCCCAGCCTTTCCTCAGACGTAGTAATTGGTTCTGTTGATCAGTCCCGTATTTTGACCAATCTGTAGTTGCCATGAACTATATTGTACATTGACATTTAAAAAAGTTGCTAACTTCCTAGGGGAGAAGCCTCGGGGATTACGAAAAAACAGAAGAAAAAGAAGAAGAAAAAAGACAAGACAGAGCCCTTGGGTGATTCAGATGAGCAGGATCTACTTAACAATGTGAGTGTTGACCCCGGGCCTATATTCTAATTTCTATATGTGGTGATTGGTAGATGTGTAATGATTTATCAATATGACAATAATAATCGTCGTACATTGCTGCACAATACACCGTATCATATTTCTATAGTTATACATTATTGCATAAATAGTCACAGGGCCATACCAAGTATCAAAACAGCAAACAATATATATATATATATATATATATAACACAAGTAAGGAAATTTAGTTGCCATAAATGAATCAGGTTACACAGTGCCATGAATATGTCATGGCTTTATTGTCATGCTACCTATATCGTATAATCATCATTTGGCAGTGCACAGTGCTGGTAGTTAGGGGACACTTCAGCCTGTAAGTTTTTTATTGTATTTGTTGTATAATAAGTGGGTTATAGTGGCTATCCCATTTGCTCCTCCAGGCACCGCCTCCGGTGAACATGGCAAAGTTGAAGGAAATTCAGAAAGCTGTAGAAATGTTCAGTCTACACCAGGGAGCAGCGAAAACACTAGAAGAAGCGACCCGGAAACACTATGCATTTTGGAGCACACAACCTGTTCCTCAGCTAGGTGAGAGATAGTTAGTACATTTATAATCATTGATTTATCAAGTTCACTACCTTATACCTACATTCTCCAAGTGTCTGTTCGGGATTTTCTACATCGAGTGGCACAGGCTCGTGCCCCGGAGTCTGTTTATCTTAATTGTTACCTCTAACGGTGTGGCCAACTCATAAAAGTGTACTATCACTTTTCGACTACTCGTGTGTGTCTGTGTAACGGTGTGTAAGTCTCACCCTCATTCAGGTGAAAAGGTTAAATTGTCCCAACTTTTGTTCGAGCAGAACATGGCTTTCTTGATCAGTCCCTTATTCGGTTGCGCTTTTGTTATTACGAACCTGCCAATTATAATGAATGTATCTTGATTTTGCTTGTCTTCGTTAGGTCTTGATTCTCTGTATCACTTTGTTGCAGAAGAGAAGATCACTGAGCAGACAAACTGCCCAATCGAACAGGCAAAGTCGACTGCGGAAATCCGCAAGGAGCAGTTCTCGCTTCCACAGGATTTTCAGTGGGACACACTAGATATTAACGAACCACTGGTGGTAAGAAATGTTCTTATGACATAGTCCGGCTCTTCTAGAAGCACTGGTGCAGGAGATCGGTGGAGGAATAGTTTGAAAACTCTTAATGCTGGTGCTTATATCGCGAGTTACTGCATAAGTACTTTATGGCGTAGGGCTACCGAATTGTTGCCTAGATGCTGAGCAAGTACACTCGAATTTGGTAGCTGAATTTATAGCAAGGATTTCTTAAATAACTGCACAACCAAAAAAAATATAGCAAGATACAGTATCACCAAATATTCAACATGTTACTCCAGTATGAAAATGACTATATGAGTTTGTGCTGTTATGGTAGATGAAATATAAAATAAGTGACAGTTCCCATGAAATTGGCAACCACCAGACAAAACAGCATCTCATTGAGTGATGTAATCGTTCTAGAATGGTACAACATCTCTTATTGCTTAATTCATGTTACCATGTCAAAGTATAGGGATAAGGTCTTGCTAAAAACATTGGCATCATCATGTAACAGAGTCAACACGATTTAAACAAACTTACTTCAATCGTTGAATGTACAAGTGTTGTTCTAGGTATATTAGCCTCTCTTTAGACAATTGCTGCTATGCAAGCAATACCAGTAAGTATATTGTAATGGTCGAAAAAATAACGAGAATTATCGCGAAGACTGTTTGAAATCGTTACTTTAAACCTAGTAAAATTGCAAGGGAAATGCAATCAGGCCATCTATTAATTGTGAATATTTTTAATTATAACAATAATTGATTATTTTATCATAGTGACAATCTCATTAATTTTTATATATATGCATCGCTACCGGATGCTGCCTTGGTAGCATTTCAGTGGCACTTGGTGAGGAATAGTGTAAACTATTAGGATATTATTGTTCTTGCTTCTAGCTCAAGGAGTTGTATCAGCTCCTTAATGAGAATTACGTAGAAGACGATGACAACATGTTCCGATTTGACTACTCACCAGAATTTTTGAAATGGTATGTTCTTTTGCATTCAATGTTATCAACACACATATATTAAGAATATGCTTACAATCTCACTCAATTGTGCATGCATGCTAAATCTCTACCGTAGAGTCAATAGGTCTACCAATTGAACCCGATAGTGAATTTGGATATGGAGCAAGTGTATGCTAGCCAAATTTGGCTTGGTTAAGTGTTGATCCACTGTCTTCATTGATCCGAGAAGTTGTAGCCATGTGCTAAAGCTGTAATGAGAGCATATTGTATTAAATTTCAAAGTACTATAGTAATAAATACATCGTGTCATGTATGAGTACATAACCTTACTTTTAAATAAATACTCTTTTATCCGATTTCCATGCTAATTGCATAATGTGCGTGTAAGTTGCATGTGGTAATCACGGTGGTTTTGTGCCCTTAGACACCTAAGTCTTCCACTGTGTGTGGTTTTGTTATTTTTGAGTTTACACGAGCCCCTGTAATAAAACCTCACACTTTCAAGCTTCTTTTTCATCAGTAAAGGCAGTGCATCTGCAGTTGAAGCTGGTATTAGAGCACATTATTTTGGCATTTTATACAACAAATTTTACAATAATACATTATTAACAATAATAACATTAACACATTTGTACAATTGTATAGACATTTGCATTGTATTTGACATTTTGCAGTATAAGTATGTGTGTACTTGTGTAAGTATGTAACCTCACTGCCAAGTGAATTGCTGCGCAGGGCTCTTCAACCGCCCGGCTGGCTCAAGCAGTGGCACTGCGGCGTACGCGTGGCAAAGAGCGGCAAGCTGGTGGGCTTCATCAGTGCTGTGCCAGCCAACATCCGCATCTACGACGCGTAAGTCTCACGCGATAGAGAGAGGGGCTGCGGATATGCAACTGGTCCACAGTGACCGGACAAGACCAGACCAAACTGGCCAGATCAGACCAACGAGGCTGACTTGACGATACAGTTTGTTTTACATTAGGTTATTTAGAAATGGGTTTGCCACACTAGTTTACACTTGTAGCTCAGCATACAGGATGGGCTTAGGGGTCTGTCTGGGTTAGGTTCGTGTTAGGCGTGGCGATGTGTGATTGTGATATATTTACACTTGCGGTTACATTGTCACTTGCAGACCTCAGAGGATGGTGGAGATAAACTTCCTGTGTGTTCACAAGAAGCTCCGGAGCAAGAGAGTGGCGCCAGTGCTTATTCGCGAGATCACGCGTCGCGTCAACCTGGAGGGAATCTTCCAGGCTGTCTACACGGCAGGAGTGGTCCTGCCCAAACCTGTCGCGACCTGCAGGTATGATGGTAGTGGCATTATACTTATAATAGCAGTAGCACTAGCAACAGCAGTAACACTAGCAGTAGCAGTGGCAGTAGCAGTAGCAGTAGCAGTAGTAAGTAGACTAGTACATGTGGTTACATCCATAGTGAAGAGATCGATGTAGGTATCACGTGTTTGTTGTTGTAAGTGTGTTACTGCTTGCTGTGCAGGTATTGGCATCGCTTGCTGAACCCCAGGAAGTTGATTGAAGTCAAGTTCTCGCACCTGAGCCGGAACATGACGATGCAACGCACCATGAAATTGTACAGACTACCCGAGGTGTGATTAGTCGGAGGCTACATACCAGTAATATGACACCGACAATAATAGCGACTCTTGTAAAATGGTGGCTAGCAGGTTACTTCACAAGTGGAAAAAGTTTCAGACAAATTGCATGTAGATGTTAGCATTAATGGAATCCATTGATTGATTCATGTTTTAACATATCCAATGGAAGTATTTGTTGCAGCATGGTAGAGTTTGTTTGGTATTTGTATTTTGTAGTCGACAAAAACGATTGGGTTTCGGCAGCTCTCGCCCACCGATGTACCAGAGACGTACAAGCTGCTAAACAAGGTACAGCTGCTGGTTCCAGCCATCTGTGTATGTTATAGGCTATTCGTGACATGTTTAAATCATGTTGTGAAACATCTCCAGCAATAGCACAGTTAGAAAGTCCAATCCATTTCTTGACACATGATACATTGATGCTGGGTGAGTATGTGACTGTTAAGTTCTTGTATTTACCCTTCTTGAGAAGATCACACGTGTGTTTATATACTAGACGTCCAGGCCGTAAAATGTTTTGTATGAAATCTGTGTTATCCCACTATTTACCGCTATTGTTTTTGTGATTGTTTAATGGTAATGTTACAGTATTTGGAGAGGTTTGACCTGGCACCTGTATTCAATGAGGAGGAGTTTCGTCACTGGTTTATTCCACAGCCAGGAATTGTTGATAGCTACATAGTTGAGGTGAGCCCGCAGCGACCGTCACTGCCATCTATTTTGCATAGTCTACCACTAGAAAAGTGACGTTTCCCTTGAGACAATTAAATTGTCAAATTATCAGCATCGTAGAGACACATTGTTTCCCCTTTCCTGTCTGACATTGGTAACTGCCAATGCAAGTATAATATACAGTGTTTCCCCTGGCCAGAAAGGTCTGCGAGGTGGTAAATTTTGTGTTTATGTTTGCGCATTTTGAGGTCCTAGCAAAGCGAGCCCAGCTAAGGGGGTCTGGGGAAATTTATTTGAAACTAGACAGAGGGCACTCACGGATAGTGCATACCTCCGCGAGCATCTAACATGTATGTGCTTGCTGGTGGCGGCTGCTGACTGACTCGCCGCTCACTGGTGGCTGCTGCTGACTCGCCACTCGCTGACTCGACGTGCTATCGATCGCGCCAAGGCTACACACGCACGCACGCACGCACGCACGCACACACACACAAGACCGATTACATGACCTCCGATGCAACTCCGTTGCGCGGAGGTAAAAATGGTGCAATTTGGTGCATTCTAAGCTATTCTGAACACATTATATGAGACTATTGTATGAGAAAGTGTAGTTTATTGATGGAAGAACATTGATTTTCGTCAGCGAGGCAGTGTTTAGACAAATTTCTGTGTGGCGGCTGAAAATTTTACCGAGGCAACCCGCCTCGCTCGTGTCAATGCAGGGGAAACACTGATATATATCATGTAAAATATGAATTCAATACAAATGCGTACATTGTTTAACATTTAGCTAGCAAAACTTGTTATTTCACATATCTATGCGTAGTGCATGTTGTCTCTGAGTGCAAGTGAGCCGAGGCATTGGTGTGATCCCGTAAGTATGTGGTGTGCGCGTGTGTTACAACGTGTGCTGTCGCTCGCAGAGAGACGGCCAGATCACAGACTTTGCGAGTTTCTACACCCTGCCGTCAACGGTCATGCATCACCCAGCGCACAAGCTGCTGCGCGCGGCATACTCCTTCTATAATGTCAGCACGCGAACATCGTGGGTTGACCTGATGAACGACATACTAGTCGTGGCAAAGCAGGTGAGCCAGAGTCGTACTATTATCATTAGAAGTGCAGATGTCTCGGAGAGCTAGTGCTAGCATTAGTAGAGGGGCAGGTGAATCAGATAGCTAGTGCTAGCATCAATAATGACACAAGTGAATCCGGGAGCTAGTCCTAGCATCAATAAAGACACAGGTGAATCAGATAGCTAGTGCTAGCATCAATAAAGACACAGGTGAATCCGGGAGCTAGTCCTAGCATCAATAAAGACACAGGTGAATCAGATAGCTAGTGCTAGCATCAATAAAGACACAGCTGAATCAGGGAGCTAGTCCTAGCATCAATAAAGACACAGGTGAATCAAATAGCTAGTACTAGCATTAGTAGAGGGACAGGTGAATCAGATAGCTACTGCTAGCATCAATAAAGACACAGGTGAATCAGGGAGCTAGTCCTATAGCATCAATAAAGGCACAGGTGAATCAAGGAGCTAGTCTTAGCACCAGTAGACATGCAGGTGTGTCAGGGAGCTAGTTCTAGCAGCAGTAGATGTGCAGATGAGTCGGATAACTAGCTAGTGTTAGCATCAGTAAAGGTGCAGGTCAGCCAGCAGAGATCTAGTGCTAGGATCAGTAGACGTGAAGGTGAGTCAGATAGCTATAGTGCTAGTAGCATCAGTTGAGCAGTGTTCGAATTAAGGGAAAAAATTTGCTTGTCCTGCAAAATTTTTGCTTGTCCTGATTAATAACATAGAAATATAGGAAATGTGTAATATACATTTAATCAAATTAAATTTTAGACCCAATATCTTACTTTGTAATTTTAATACAGTTCACTAACAGTTCAAATTAGGCACCAAACTTGAAAAAACATAACGAAGCACAATTATTTATTTTAAGTTATTACATTTAAGTCTTAACAAAGTTGAAGCGATGGTAGAAAATGATGAAAAATTGCTATAAAAAGTTGCTCTAAAAAGCTGCTTGTCCAGCGGACAAGCTACTGGACAGATCTACTTTTCCTCTGTGGAAATGGACAAGTGAGGATAAATGAATAGCCCATATTTCGAACACTATTAAGGTGCAGGGGATATATATATATATATATATATATATATATATATATATATATATTATTATTATTGAACATATCTATACATATCTGTATGAGTATATATAGAATAAAATAGTATGAGTATATATAGAATAATATATGTGCATGAAATTATAGGCAAAAAGGTACATTTATTTGGGCGGTTGTCATTGTCACGATGATGGCATAATTCGATCCTTCCATTCATTTTGCAGCACAACTTTGACGTATTCAATGCCCTTGATCTCATGGAGAATAAGGATTTCCTGGAGAAGTTGAAATTTGGAATCGGTGACGGAAATCTTCAGTACTACTTGTACAACTGGAAATGTGCCAGCATGGCACCGAACCGGGTAAGTCTTTCGCTTTAGCAGGTGGGACCACTTGCAGCTTTGTAGTCTACGACAGTGCTTCTTAAACTATTTCAGTGTTATTCACTCTCGAGTCTTTATCACAGAGTTTCATTCACCCACGACGAGGGATGTCACGATCATCGATTATACTCGATCATTGGTTGAACAGTGGCTCGAACCAAGCGCTTGGTTATCAAAATCCATAATCAATTTCAATGAAAAAAATCGAAATAAATGTAAAACTTGAACAAGAAAACTTAGAAAAGTGATGAGAATCAGAGATATCATTGCTACTATACAAGTTATCCTTTATTAACATACATGTATTATACACACAGTAGTAAACAGTGCAAAACAAACAGTAAACAGGGCTAAACAAGAACATACATGCACACATGTACATGCACATGACGTTACGCACACGCAGGCATTCAACACTCCGAGTAACCGATTGACAACACTACCCGCGACTATAAATTTCCAAACGTTTTAGTATGTTTCATTCACGCCATAATAATTTCATTCACCCTTGGGTGAAGCATTCACCAGTTTAAGAAGCACTGGTCTATGCAGTGGGAAGTGTGATTAAGAAGCTCTACCTGGTGGGTGTTCTGTACAGATCTTAGACATGATCATATGCATATGGCATTTACTTTCATGAAAGGTGTTAAGTTACAGTCAGGTGAATGGATGGCTGATTGCACTCCAGAATTGTTACCAACAGGCTGTTTTGTGAATATACTATGCAATTTCTAGTCCTTGTCTTGTGCATGTAGCATTTACTATAATAATGTAAAATGAAAAACTCGAGTCTGACATTGATTTTTTTCCTTTTCAGGTGGGACTGGTGCTTCAATAGTGATAGAGACTGCACCTAGCTAATTATTTTGCCATGTTCGGTACTGGATACTCACGAGAGGCTCCTATTGTGGCAGCAAGCATTGATTACACACAAGTCAACAAAATGCATTGCAGAGCTCACTACCAGCAATGCCATCAGAAGTGTGCTTATCAGGGTTGTCACTAGATGGCAGCAGTATTGTTTTAAGTGTATGGGCTGGTGTTGAGAGCGAGGGTCATCCGATATTTATATCAGTAAATGTTTCCAGTTGTGAGTGTGTGAGTGACCTCTATGGATGCGATTATATTTCTTTAATTATGCTTGTGTGATTCTTTTACATTGAGCAATTTAATGTCTGAGATGACCAGAGCAGAATGCAGAGCGCTCAATACTAGTGTCAATGCCAAAATTTGTGGGTCTGAAATTGAAATGATTGAATATCCTTTGGCTCATCTCTCCTTCAGCATAGCGCATGTATGACTATGACCAAAAGGGTAAAGTAATATTTGTATAGTAGAGTATGTGTGGTGACAGCACTATTCTAAAATAATGTAAAGGGCTGGATTTCGAGGCACCTGGCTCAGTGACCTGCGGTGCTGGGCTCCCGATTCTGTATTGACATTGCTCTACTTAGTGTGACGTGTTCGTCATTCGTCTATTGAAAGTGTAACATCTTTTTTTGGCTGATGGCTGCCAAACGTTTTAATGTGTTTTAGGTTTTGGTGGACAGGGAATGTTATTTTTTCATTTTGACTTACTCTAAATGGAATTAGAAGTCATTTGCATGCAGTATTTCCATGTATTAGCCCTGCTAGAGTTTGTGTGTACTATTTTTGGTGCATAAGCCACAAATTGTCCAAGTAACATTTCTGTTAATGTAGATCTTGTCCGTGGTTAATTGTGTGTGTGAGAGCTGCACTTTGTGCATGTGACAGAAACGTTGTGTGTGTATGATCATGCGCATTGTAGGACTTGCGTCATGGCTGGTTATGATGTCAAGTATGAACGTTAAAGCATTGAAATGAAACAGGGTCCTTCTCAGCAAGTCAAGTTTCTGTTTCACGTACGAACTTGTTTGCGGAATGTTTCAAGATGAGAGACCCTTCCTTACAAAATGCATGCTTTCCTAGAGTAGCATTGCTGTATGTATATAGATGTTGGAATTCAACATATTGACTTAAGAACACATGGAGAATATTGTGATATTTTACTGCATACGTCTGTAATAATGATATGAATAAGTTGCATTTGTTGTCCCGTCACCGCTAATTCATAGTAGGGGGCAGATCCAATTTCGATTGTATAGTAGTGGGTGGCACTGAATTTCGGTTGCTGTTCGAATGGTATATGTTAGAAAACAGATGATTCAACTTCATATCTCAGTTGCCAAGACAAAATTATTTGTGCTATATGTTTTTGCATAATTTCATGTGATTTTACTATCAGTTTATTACAAGATAGTGCAGTTGTAACCAATAAGAACAAAAGTCTTTACATGTGATGAATTCATTAAACACATTTGTTTTGTTATTCAATTGCGATCGCTACAGTGTCCAACTTTCTTTCCTGTGTACGTGTGTGTAGGAATGCTGGCACAGTCCCACGCCCTATAATTTTTGATGCCACCATTACCGTTACGATACTAAGTCATCGGTGTGATTGGTTAGCAGCTGGTCGTGTTTTTAATCGCTCAGTATGCAGTATTTTTACCCTAGTGTTTCAGTTATTTCTATTTGAAAGTCAAGCATCATGCAGATGGCAAACTGCTCAGCAGAATTTATATCATTATTCTCAAACATATATAGGAACAATTAAAATATTAACTGTCCATTAAAAAGGAAGGACGTACGGAAAATGGATTATTATTACTTGTAGTGTGTTTCTACTGCATAATAAATGCCATACAAGTGGCATATATTATTGCCAAATGTTCTTAACTCTACTGAATGACCTCGCTGGTTGCTAATTGTAATATCTTCACTCATATTCGTCACAAAAAACTACTAACAATTACCTAAAGAAATCCTATGTAGCATACTAATAGCTATACTAATGTTGTATTTCTGTTTTATATACCAACAGTATTGCAATACACTATGCAGTGGCAATTCTTAATTTCTCATATTCTCAATAGAGTGGAAATTCACAATTCTCAATTAAATTCTGCATTCTCAATCAAGAAATAGAGTGGCAATTCTCAATTTAGCTCTTACTCTTAGAAATTCAGTACCTAGTAACGCTGAAGGGGTCGTTGTCGTATCAGGTACTACAGATATGTACCCGAGGTACGTATATGTATACACAAGTGTACCAGACCTGTATCTTCTCAGCATATATGTACCCTGTGTTTATATAAACGTACCTGCCCCTGAGATGGAGATCGAATGAAGACGGTCATGGAGGAGGAGTAGGGGCCAGGAGGATGAGGAGGAGGAGGAGGAGGGGAGAATGTGATGGAGTAGGAGGGGGAGGAGGAGGAGCGGAGAAGGTGATGGAGATCGAATGAAGACTGTCATGGAGGAGGAGGAGGGGCCAGGAGGATGAGGAGGAGGAGGAGGAGGGGAGAAGGTGATGGAGTAGGAGGGGGGAGGAGGAGGAGGAGGGAGAAGGTGATGGATGGAGTCGGGAGGAGGGAGGGAGAGTAGGGAGGAAGAGAGGGAAAAGATGATGGCGAGTAGGGGCAGGAGGAGAGGAGGAGGAGAGATGGTGAGTGGAGGAGAGGAGTAGGAGGCACGAGCAGGTAGGGAGGAGGAGGGGGGAAGGTGTTGGAGTAAGGTGGAAGGAGGAGGGGGGACGAGCTGATTGGAGGCAGGGGAGGAGGAGTAGAGGGCAGGAGAGGAAACAGTGATAGATGAGCAAGAGCGTGAGAAGGTGATCCTACCTCCTACTCCTTCCTCCATCACTCCTCTCCTCTCCCTCCTCCTCCTCCCCCTCTATCACCTTATCCCCCCTTCTCCTCCTCCCCCTACTCCATCACCTTCTCCCCTCCTCCCCTTCTCCCTCCTCCTCCCCCTACTCCATCACATTCTCCCCTCCTCCTTCTCCTCCCCCTACTCCATCACCTTCTCCCTTCCTCCTCCTCCTCGTCCTCCTCCTCGTCCTCCTCCTACCCCCTACTCCTCCTCCATGACCGTCTTCATTCNATACATATTTGGAGTTACATCACATGCGAACAATATTTTGAGGTTTTAATGAGAAATGCATGTTAAAATTGATAAGCAGTTTATACATGTATAAGCACCCATACATGTAGACTACTCCAAAATAGTATGACGTACATGTATACATGGGCGGATCCGGCTTTTTGAAAAAGGCAGGGTCCAGTTAGAAATAAAGGGCACTTTTATAAAAAGGTGCCAAAGGCAGCTTATGCGACGGGTCTAAGGCACGTTGCCACTTAGGGGGGGGGGGGTTAAGGGGACCTCCCCCAACAAAAATTTAAAAAATTTGTGCATTCTGAGAGCATCTGAGTAGTAATGCAGTCTAGAATGCAAGATGGAATTCCAAATTTATATATATCTTTATATTATCTTTTATGTGTTTTCCTTTTTTTGGGTAAAAAAGGGGGGGTCCGCACCCCCGGCCTGGACCCCCCTCTGGATACACATACCACATCCAACTGAGAAACAACTTTACTGAAATAAAATCTGTAGTAGTAAAGAGTATATATTACGTTAATTTAAAGTAAGGGGTGGGGGTCTGGGGGTTCTCCCCAAGAAATTTTTGAAAATTGGGTCACGTGAAATGTAAATTCCTACAATTCTGGATTCAGAAAAATGAAAAGCCCTCAAAAATAGGAAAAAATAAGAATTTGTCCAGAAAATAGGAGAAAATAGGAATTGCCCAGAAAATAGGAAAAAAATAGGAAAAAATAGGAACATGACGCCCTGTAATAGTAGTATTTATGCAGTTTGAAAACTGAAACTACTGAATTTCCTGAAACATGTCTACATAACTTCCTGGGAACTGGGAATTAGGATTTTATTTTACTGGGAACTGGGATATTGGGTGTTTTTTTGCTGGGAAAGTGGGAATGTACCCCCCCCCCCCATTCCCCCCCTCTACCGAGGACTGGGGAGAAGAAAAACGAAAGTAAAACCTTTCCCAGAAGCTCCCCGACATGCCTAGAGTTGAAATATATTATTTGACCAACAAAAGTTACATGTATGCTGTTGATGCCAATGGTTACTTTTGTATACTATTTTGTTACTCACTGCTAGTAAATAAGCGAACCACCAACTTTTGTGCAGGGCCACCAACTTTCTGAAGTTGATGGTCCCGCTGTCCACTAGATTTTCAGCCGAAATTCGAACCCTGTCCATACGGAATCCATCTATTTAGTATTTATTCAGGCTTCAGCGTATAAAGCCTCACGTAGACAGTAGACTGAACGTCCTGGTCCTCGCTTTCACTTAATTGGTTGGGTCCATAGCGAATAATGTATATATATGTTACGAGTAATGCCACGCGAATACCCCGCGCACCTCGCTGTCTAATTCATATCATATATTCTAATCGCTGTCTAATTCGTATTATAGCTCTAGTACTATAGGAGGGGGTCAATGCCCTTTTCGTACGCCGGATTCCGGCCTATTTAGAGAGTATTCCGTACGCCGAGGTGCGGTACGCCGTACGCGGCGATGACAGTATAACGTATTCCGTACGCGAAATAATTGATACTATAATCGGGGATTGTGTTTTTAGCTCATCTGACATAGTCAGATGCAGCTTGTAGAATCGCATGATCGTCCGTC